AAAAAAATATATATATATATATATATATATATATATATATATATATACACACACACATATACACACAGTATGGAAAATAATTATTTAAAATTATCCCCTGCAGATTTTGTAAGTTTGCCCACTTTACAAAGAAATGAAAGGTCAATCATTTTTGATCATTAGGTGCATTTTAAAATTGCACAGAATATCAACCAAAAATCCAGAAAAAAAAAAACACGATACAAATGTTATATATTTAGTTGCAGTTCAGCGAGTAAAATAAGTATTTGATCCCCTACCAACCAACAATAATTCTGGCTCCCACAGACTGGCTATGTGGTACACAGATTAGTCCTGTCAGTTTAAAGCTGGCCATACACCTTACAACCGGGCCAATCTGTTCCCCAAACGCCTTACGACCATGGCAAGACTTAAGTCTTGCCATGGTTGTAAGCTAATTAAAAGCTTGTACGATCTGCCCATCTTGGACAGGCAGATCGTACTTGCGATCATCGAAATCACGCCCTGCTATTGCGGGCTTTCGATGATCGCAAGTACGATCTGCCCCTCCAAGGTGGGCAGATCGTACGGGCTTTCAAGAAGCATACAACCATCGCAAGACTTTTGTCGTAAGGTGTATGGGCACCTTTAGAAGGAGCTCCTAACGACAACTTGTTATGTATAAAAAAAAACACCTGTCCACAGAATATCTTTCCTCCATTCAAACCTCACCACCATGGGCAAGACAAAGAGCTGTCAAAGGACATTAGTGACAAGATTGTAGACTTGCAAAAGGCTGGAATGGTCTACAAGACTATCAGCAAGAAGCTTGGTAAGAAGGAAACAACTGTTAGAGCGATTATTCACAAATGGAAAGAATACAAAATAACCATCGATCGCCCTCGGTCTGCAACTTCATGTAAGATTTCGCCTCATGGGGGAAGGATGATCGTCAGAAAAGTGAGGGATCAGCCCAGAACTACACGGGAGGAGCTTGTGAATGATCTCAAGGCAGTTGGGACCACAGTCACCAAACAAACCATTGGTAACACAATACACCGCCATGGATTGAGATCCTGCAGCGCCCGCAAGGTCCCCCTCCTCAAGACTTGCGTTTCTGTTAGTATGTGCACGTTTGTGGGGGACTTTACATTTTTTGTGGGTATTTAAAATGTTATTAAATTTTTTTTTTTACTTCATTGCGATCACATGGTGGAGCTCACAAGACCCCTATGTGATAACACATTGGAGGTGACAGGTTCTGATTATGGTGACATTAGGGGTCTTTTAGGCCTTTCCACTTCACTAGGGAATGTTAGCTGCCTGCTGAGGCAGCTGAATGTAAATACAGCATGCAGTGCCTGGGAGCAATAATTCTCCTTCAGGTCCTCCTCTGCAGATTTACAGCAGGCAGTGGGCGAGTGCAATAGCCGGCTTGCTATTGGCTATTGCAATTTAAAATATCCAATAGCAGGCTGGCTATTGCTCCCAGCGGCTGATCGGAGAAGATGCCGGCGTTATACCGCTGGCAGAAGAGGGGGCATGGGGCAGAAGAGGAGGAAGGGGGCGGGCAGCGGGGGAACAGGGGAGGCAGCGGAGGCAGAGGAGGAACAGGGCAGCAGCGGAGGTAAGGGGCGGGGGGCAGTGGGGGGGGATGCAGACTCACCGGAGTCTCTCTCCTCCCTGCTGGTAATGGCTGCACTGGTCTGTGTCCCCGCTGCCTCTGCCGATACAAGGGGGGAGAGCAGCGGGGATTGAAAGGGACACAGACTGCTGCAGCCTAGGGCTTGTTCACACCATTTTCTGGTCCAGATCTGCAGACACGCTATGCGTGCAGTGCGTTTTTACTGCGGCTTTTTTTGGAGTGGGGCTGTCAGTATGTTAGCTGCAGTGCGGTTCGTTTTTCTGATGCAGTATTTTTTGTCTGGACCAGAACGGACTGCGCTGGTGAGAATTGCAGCCCATAAAACACATAGGGAGACATTGGGATGCATTTTGGGTGCAGGAGCGCACGGTTCTGGTCCGGACAGAATCCGGACATTGTGTGAACAAGCCCTTAATCTAACTGAAGCCTCTGTGCAACAATATTGATAAATGCCCCCCATTAAATCCTCCGCAATATGGTGGCAGATAGCTCCGGTAGCACCATAGCGGCGCACATCCCTACACAACACTGGCACGATAGCGGCGCACATCCCTACACACCACTGGCACGATAGCGGCGCACATCCCTACACACCGCTGGCACCATAGCGACGCACATCCCTACACACCGCTGGCACCATAGCAGCACACATCCCTGCACACCGCTGGCACCATAGCAATGCACAATCCTAAAGGCAGATTTCATTCTACCAATACATGTCCTCACAGACCACCACTTAACCAACCCACGTTCCCAGTACTGGTGTAATTCACCAGTGACCACTGCCAACATAAAGCTGGCCATACACCAGTACAGTTTCTTTTACAAAAGTTAATTACGTCAAATTGCCAAACTGGCAAAAAAAAATTATCGAAGAAGCCGGATGGAAATTTTTTCCAACGTATGAAGTTCCAATAGTGAATGTTGTTTTCGTTCATGAAAAATGTATTCCAAAGATCGTACAAAAATCTACCAGTGTATGCCCAGCTTTACATCCACTTTCTTCTGATTGCCATTATAACAAATCCCCACCAGGGGGGGTGTGGGCTCTGTGCCAACCAAGTTCACCCAAAACTGTCAGTGACACCCCCTCCAGGTCCAATAATTTGTGGCCGGGGTATTCCTGCCCCTTTCTTACAGGTGTAGCTGTGGGGTGGGGTATGACCCAGCCGCAACCGATTGGGTCAGATGGGGCGGGAGTGTCACTGACAGTTGTGTGGGCTTGGGTCAACCTTGTTCACACTGAGCCCTCACCACAACATGTTGCATTTTGTGCACTGTGCTATACACTATATCCCCAGACTTCCGGTGAACTGGGTAGCAATCCGGCATGTGACACTGTTCCTAGCACACCTATAGGATCAGAAAGAGGCCTCCCTGTCTAATACAAATACACAGGAGGAGGTGTTCCCGGGGACAGGTCGGACATATTTACCCCGCAGATGAGAATTGCTGTGTTTGGAGTCGGGTTTTCACCAGGTCTAAAGGCTGGAAGAGAAGTGTGGAGCAGGTACCACTTATGGACCCGCACAAGAAAGCTTTAATGACCGGGTGCATGTGGTTCAGCGAGCTCAGGCGATTCCCCGAAGCCAGCGGCTCTCCAGCCATCACTGCAGCGTTACACATTTTCACAAAGTTAGGTACCCATCACACCGCTCCGCCACACAACTCCCCGGTACAGGACCTTCCATTACGTCACAGTCATGTGACTGTCATGCAGCCTCGTCACTGGAACACGTGACTGTGCTATGTGGGAGGATCGGTGACCGCCCGGGCGGCCTCACTATAAATGTGTGTGTCATAATTAACGGAGCTGTGCTGTACTCCCTCCGCCCAGCGCGGATGACTGCAGAACTGCTCTGTATACACTATACAAACACAGAAACAATGTAAAGTGGGGTTTTAACGGTAGCCCATACATCTGAAATCTCCATATAAAGTAAAACACTTTTTTGGTGTACATTTTAAAACAATATACACACACACAGTGGTATAGCCATAGCAGCCCAGGCACCATGGGGTGAAATGGGGGCCCATGGGTTGTTAAGGCACATTAAATATAGAACGTGAAGATACTACAGTACTGTATCATTTAGGGTTGGTGCTAAAGGCTGCAGCGTAGAGACAACTTCAGATACACAAGAGGAATCCTTGGCATCGTCGCAGTTCTGAGAGTGGTCTTTTGGGGGGGGGGGAATCACATCTTTGCTATGGGGCCCCATGATTCGTAAGTAAAGGTTTGGATTCTAAGTTTGGAGTCTATGGTTTTCAGGATCAGGACATACAAAATCACCTGGCCCTTAGCAGGTCTTACATTTTAACATAATTCTAAATAATAATAATTTAAAATAATATATTACATTGCAGGAGTTACATCTCAGACTCTACAGGCCTCAGTTAGCATGTTTAATGTTAAAGTTCATGACAGTACACTTAGAGAAAGACTGAACAAGTATGGTTTGCTTGGAAGGGTTGCCAGGAGAAAGCCTCTACTCTCTTTAAAAAAAAAAGCATGACAATGCAGTTTATGTTTGAAAAGTTGCATCTGAACAAACTACAAGACTTCTGGAAGAATGTCCTTTGGACAGACGAGACCGAAGTAGAGAGGTTTGGCCATTATTCACAGTGCCATGTTTGGCGGAAACCAAACAGCATATCAGCACCAACACCTCATACCAACTCTTAAGCATGGCGGTGGAGGGGTGATGATTTGGGCTTGCTTTGCAGCCATGGGACCTGGGCACCTTGCAGGCATTGAGTCAACCATGTACGCTTCTGTATACCAAAATATTGTAGAGTCAAATGTGAGGCTATCTGTCCCACAGCTAAAACTTGGCTGAAATAGGGACTTGCAACAGGACAATGATCCCAAGCACAGCAGGGATTCTAGTAGCTATTCTACAACAGAATGGCTGAAAAAGAAAAGAATCAAGGTGTTGTAATGGCCTATTTAAAGTCCAGACCTCAATCTGCAAACCTCAATGAACTGAAGCAACATTGTAAAGAAGAGTGGGACAAACTTCCTTCACAAAAATGTGAGAGACTCATACAGAAAAAGATGACGTCAAGTTATTGCTGCTAAAGGTGGGTCTACATGCTATGGAATCATAAGGTGTACTGAGTTTTTCACACATAAGTCCATTTTGGCTTTATGGTTGTAAAACAAAAAATGATATGGTGTAATATGTCACGTGTTGCTGTTCATCTGAGGGTGTATTGAGGGCTGTCATCAGGGTGGTACTGCCCATACAAATGTAAGGGGCCCTGGCACGCTGGAGAGTCCGGGCCCCAACCAGGGGTAGACTCCATAGTAGAGGGCATGTGCCCCAGGCGCCGCATCAGCAGGAGCACCACCAGCAGGGTCAGTGGCGGATCCAGGATGGAAAACTATTAATATTACCAACAGAAGGGCAGCTCCACTCCCTCCTCTGCCGCTACTATGCATGCAGTGCCACGGCCACTTATGGACTTGAGGGCGATGGGAAGGGGGGCCTAGGAGCGCTGTCGGGCACCACTGAGAGCAGCCGAAGACACAGCGCATCCCTTCTACCCCAGGATACCTGTAGGATCCTCCATCCCTTGCAGTGTGACAGTAGAGGTTTGTGTCATACAATTATGTCATTGTCCTCATCTCTTCAGAGTAGGCCTCAACATTAAATACTGCTGTCTTGAGACCGCCAATCAGATTGCAGTGACTCCAGTGCGAGGTGCCTGGTGGCTGAACACAGTGCTGGGTATGTTGTATACAGTGCAGAGTTGGAGGGTGCATGTATCACAGTACTGGGCGTACATAATACAGTGTTTAGTTGGGAATGTATGTAGTACAGTGTGGGGTTGGGAAGAGGGTTATGTAGAACAGTGCGGGGTTGGGGGGGAGGTGTATGTAGTACAGTGTGAGACTGGGGGTGGTTTGGGTGAAGTACAGTGTGGGGTTGTATGTAGTACAGTGCAGAGTTGGCGGTGTATGTAGTACAGTGTGGGATTAGAGAGGTGGTATTTAATACAGTGTGGGGTTGTATGTAGTACAGTGCAGGATTGGGTGGTTTATGCAGTACAGTGCGTGGTGTATATAGTACAGTGCGGGGTGTATATAGTACAGTGCGGGATTGGGGAGGGGTTGTATGTAGTACAGTGCGGGATTGGGGAGGCCAGATTATTATGACCACCCCATCAGTACTTCGTTGGGCCACGAGATGACTTCATGGGCCGCCTCGTGACTCCACGAGATGTTGAAAGGTGATACAAGGAATCTGACACTACACTGTTGCCCTTCTGTTGTCTTGTACCAGTCTTGCCACTCTCCGTTCTGCCCTAACATTGACTAGTCGCTGACGGCCACAATTCGCACGTTCAGACCCAGATTTTCGGCTGACAGTCCAGTCTTTAAACACTTTAATAACAGCTGCTCTTGAACATTTAACGAATTCTGCTGTTTTGCTGATACTCGCTCCATGGCGCCGACAATCATCACATGTTCAAAGGCTGTTAAATCGCATTGTTTATCCATATCTTCAGAAAAAAATCACTTCTACTGTCATGGTAAACAACATGCTTCCGCATTTTTAAATG